AAAACACAGTGGTGCTAAGAAGTTTAAGTCTACGTTTATATGATGACGGTCTGAACAGAAGACGCAAAAGTGGCGTTGCGTCTTCACTTTTTATTCCGCGTTTAGACGAGCGTTTTCGGAGAAAAATCTGCGTGCATACAGTGACGCAAAAAGTGTGGCATGGGACACATTTTGAAAGCTCATTGCGGCGCGGGTGGGTGAGACTACAAAATGCAGGAGTGGGCAGGCTGCAGTCCCGCAAACTAAATATGAGTGTAAAGTAAAATATACAAATGATGAATGTAAGCCTATCATACATAATTTGTGCTGAATATTTTATTTGGCATTAATAAAAACATTTTAAGCAGCCTAAATTTACGTTTGTGGTCTAATCTCACGCACATTTTAGACAATTCCTTTCCGCTTCTTCATGTTTGATAGAGCTTAAAGGTTGTATGGAGGATTTTTTTTTAGTTTCAAACTGTCAGTGAAAGATTAAAATACCATTACAGAGACGCAGCAGCTTTGTAATTATGATGACCAAAAAAAAAAAGAACGAAAATCTATCAACTGTGGACGTAGTGAGGCCAGATAAACATCAGCCAATAGAAAACGAGGCTCCCTGATTTTCTATTGGCTGTTAGGTTGTCAATCAAACTCCCTAGTAAAACTGACTCGTCGGAGCGCGGGGATTATGTGGTTTACGCAGTGGTTCTTAGAGGCATTTTCGAACTGTCGCTTCCTCGCATTTTACACAAAGTTTGTCGCAACGGCGGACGAGAATCCACGACCGGTTTGCCGCAAAAGAAAGTCAGTTTTTGAGGTCGCTGAAAGAAGAAGAGAAGTGGAAAAGTAGCAAAGCCAAACTGAGGTGATTCTTGGAGATCTCGTCCAGCGATGGCGCGACCGAAGCAGACGAAAGGTCTAAAAACTGATGCTTCGGTCGCTGAATTACTTCTAGACAGGTCACTTCAACAGTAATTCTGAATGCGCACAAGGACTGTCGCTGTATTTCTCTTCCCTTAAAAAAATCCTCTATACAACCTTTAAGAAAGCGAACGCCCCAATCTTGCAGGACTTGCGGGCGAGAGCGGGACAAAATATCACAGATGCGGGCAGGAGCGGGATTGAAAATTACAATTTGTTGCGGGAGCGAGACTGAAAATTCAGTCCCGCACAGACCTTCTAGCTTGAAGATCCGACATGTTTGTTTCTGCGTCCTGTATGTATGTGACGTAAAATGTGTACACGACGGGAGCAGATCTGACCAGAGTTTTGCGTCTTGGGCAGTGTAGACAGAAACGCTGCGGTGGAGCGTATTCAACTTTTCCACTCTGGAGTGTGGTTTCAGATTTTTGTGTTTTTAAGCCCCCAAAAACGCCGTCGCTGTCTAAACGAAAGGCACTCTGCAAGCGTTCTTGTGTAAACAGGCCCTAAATATGCAGGATTTCTGTGTTAAACATGTGCGAATGGATCAAAACACAACTCCAGGTGTGTTTTTGAAGAGGAAACAACATTATAACACACAGTAGATCAGAAAATAGCGTAATACGGGCCCTTTAATGAATATCCAGCGGACCACATAACCTTGAGCCAGTATAAAAAGTACTGCTATACGTCGCCCTCTATAGAATAAACAGACCTCCTTAATTACCCATACTCCCCGTGTACCTGCCCCTCTCCGCACCATTCACCCGGATGTGTCCACTGCTCCTGCCTCTTTGCTCGGTCTCCTCACGGAAATAGATTTCTCTCCGGATTTGATCCCATTGCCACTGAGCAAACACCGCACCACCTCTTTACCTTTTTCGTCAATGTCACCCGCCAGAAACCCACCCTCCCTCCCTCCTCCTCCTTCCTCCTCCATCCCTCCATCTCTCCCGCCATCTCCTCTGAATTTATTCGCAAGGTTAGCCACGTGTCACAACATAGCAGCACGCTTGGAAGAACAGAGAGGATTTAAGGTTAAGAAGTGTGAGGAGATGTTCACCGGTTTTATTAAGATCCCCGTGTTACTTGGAGTTGCGTGCGGTTGCGCTGAGGAGGATGGAGTCGAGGAGCAGGCATGTGTGAATTTTGGCCGTGTGGGTGGGCACCGAGCCTGGACTGTACTAACACATGCTACTGCTACTATTTCTAACTAATAACTGCTATCACTCGTCAACTTCTACTATTGCAGTCAGGCTACTTATTAGGTACTGCAACTATTTTGATAGGTTGCCACTAAGATGACGAATAAAGGACTGCTGCTACTGCTCAGGCCCAGTATTACTCCCAAAGTACTATTGTATATGGCCAGTGTTGGGAAGTAACTGAATACATGTACTGAAAATACTTATTCTGAATACTAATTTTGATTTACTATATTCTGGTACAGTTACTTTTTCATTTGGTGGCAGTCACTTTTCTAAAATTAAAGCAATACTCAGCACAGCTCTTGCAGCCTTCGCAGTCTTAAGGGCCGTTTGCACCAGAGCGTCAAAAAACGCCACGCCTCTATTTGGACGCCTTTGCATTGGACGCTGTGGACGAACAGGGGAAAAATACTTGACGCGTGTTCGTTGCCCTGGAAACAAGTGCCCGGTCTGTTTCCGAAATGATAACAGACCAGGCTGAGAGACTTTAGTGTTTTTATTCCATAAAACCAACAGCGGAGGCGATCGGGTCGACGATCGCGGCGTATATATATGTATACTCCGCTAAAGACACTGGTCCAGTCCCGGTCTAGTCCCGGTCTAGTCCCAGTCTAGTCCTGGTTTATTCCCGGTTTAGTCCCGGTCTAGTACTGGTTTAGGTGCAGTCTAGTCCTGGTCTAGTTCCGGTCTAGTCCCAGTCTAGTCCTGGTTTATTCCCGGTTTAGTCCCGGTCTAGTACTGGTTTAGTCGCAGTCTAGTCCTGGTCTAGTTCCGATCTAGTACTGGTTTAGTCGCAGTCTAGTCCCAGTTTAGTCTCGGTCTAGTCCCGGTTTAGTCCCGGTCTAGTCCCGGTTTATTCCCGGTTTAGTCCTGGTCTAGTATTGGTCTAGTACTGGTTTAGTCGCAGTCTAGTCCCGGTTAAGTCCCGGTCTAGTCCCGGTTTATTCCCGGTTTAGTCCCAGTCTAGTACTGGTTTAGTCGCCGTCTAGTCCCGGTTTAGTCCCGGTCTAGTCCCGGTCTAGTCCCGGTCTAGTCCCAGTCTAGTCCCAGTCTAGTCCTGGTCTAGTACTGGTTTAGTCGCAGTCTAGTCCCGGTTTAGTCCCGGTCTAGTCCCGGTCTAGTCCTGGTCTAGTCCCGGTCTAGTCCCAGTTTGTTCCCGGTTTAGTCCCAGTCTAGTCATTGGTTTATTCCCGGTTTAGTCCCGGTCTAACCCCAGTCTAGTTATGGTCTAGTCTCAGTCTAGTCCGGTCTAGTCCCGGTCTAGTCCCGGTCTAGTCCCGGTCTAGTCCCGGTCTAGTCCTGATTTAGTGCCAGTCCAGTTCTGGTGTGGTCCTCACAATCTGCTTTTTGATTCTGGCATATACAGTTATGCTCCGCTACTGTTTGTGGCTCCCGCTCTGGTTCTTGGGTCTTTCTCTTTCTTCTTGATAATAAAGTCGCTACGTCACTGGATACTCGTCCCTGATTGGGTGACGTGGTGCATTTTGAGCGAAAAGTTCAGCATTTTCAACTTTTTGGGATCAACGCTCTAAACGTGCGTCCAAGGCATCGACGCCAGAAAGTTGAAATTCTTGCCGCGACACCAGAAGATGCAGCCCAAAAACACGCTTCCACATAGAGTTTGCATATAAACTAGACACTTTGGTGTGAACGGCCCTTTAAACATAAGTTAAAGGTGCATTGTGTAACTTTTTTAGTGGAGGGTCTGTCACCTGCTTGTTTCTATAGATACGAGTGTCATTGCTCTGCCCGGAATGTTCCACAGTGTGACATTAAACAGCTCTGCCTTACATTTATTCAATAACTGTTGGTTTTATAGCTCAAAAATATAGAGAAAAACACAAATTCTGGCTGCAAGCGGGGTCACCTCTCCACAGAACTGACCTGTAACTTGATCTAGTTTGGTCTCCATGAAGACAGAAAGGTTTAACGCCATACTGTGAAACATTCCAGACAAAGCAATAACATTTCCACGGAGAAAAGCACCTTTAACTTATGTCTCATTAAAGAAGACTTCAAGAGTTGTGTCGAGTATTGCTTTGATTTTAGAAAAGTGACTGCCACCAAATGAAAAAGTAACTCAAAATTAGTATTCAGAATAAGTATTTTTTGTTACATGTATTCAGTTACTTCCCAACACTACATATACTATAGTACTTTGGGAGTAATACTGGGCCTGAGCAGTTGAAGCAGTCCTTTATCTGTCATCTTAGTGGTATACAGTACATAAAAAAACAGCAAAACAAATATAAAGTTGCTGCTAAAGTATTATTAAGTACTTGGACAAATTTTACAGAATATTTTAATGCAGGTATTCAGTATTCTGTAACTAAATACAGTACATTGTCAAAGTATTCTTCCCATCACTGTATAAAGCTGATAATACTATAGTGACCGTATGGGGTCAGATTACAATTCCACTTCACAGAAATCCTTTAATTCATCTTTTCTCTGTCACCAGTGGTTGTAGATAGAGTAAATATGACCCTGGACTAACAGAAAGGAGCTGCTGAGTCAAAGGTATCTGATACTTCTAGGACCAGGTACCAGTAAAAGTGGATGGTACACGGTAATAAATAAATGTTAAAAAGTTCTACAGAATAATTTTGGTATTACTAATCAGTGTCATCACAAACATTTGCACACTGACACAACTTGTCGGTGTAACTTGCCATGATCATGACACATGTTAGATTCCATAGAGACAGGTGTGTTAAGTGCAAGACTGTGGAACATTCCAGCCCAAGCAATTGTCAAGCAGCACCTTTCACCTACAACGGTACAGAAAACATCCTGAATTTTAAAATAATAATAAATATGTATTTTCTTTCTATATTCTTACAGAAGATTCTCAAATATGTGTCCTATATCTTGTCTGGGCACTGGTCAGGGGCTTTGGGTCGGTGGGCACTGGTCTTGGGTTGGGTGGGTAGGTGGGTGGGCACTGGTCCCTGCACTAGTCTGAGGCTGGGTCGGTGGGCACTGGTCTGGGCACTGGTCTTGGGCTGGGTGGGTGGGCGGGTGTTCACTGTTCTGTTGCTGGGATGAGTGGGCACTGGTCTGGGACTGAGTAGGTGGGTGGGCACTGGCCTGGGGCTTTGGGCACTGGCCTGGGGCTGGATGGTGGGGCACTGGTCTGGACTGGTAGGTGGGTGGGCACGGGGCTGGGCACTGGTCTGGGGCTGGGTGGGCACTGGCATGGGCTGGGTGGGGTGGTGGGCACTGGTCTTGGCACTGGTCTTGGGGATGGGTGGCCTCTGGTCTGGAGCTGGGTCGGTAGTGGGCAGTCTGGGTCTGGGTAGCTGGTCTGGGTGGGCACTGGTCTGGTCTGGGGCTGGTGGGTGGCACTGGTCTGGGGCCTGGTGGGCACTGGTCTGGGGCTGGGTGGCACTGGGTGGCACTGGTCTGGGGGCGGTGGGTGGGCACTGGTCTGGTCTGGGGCTGGTGGGACTGGTGGGCACTGGTCTGGGCTGGGTGGGCACTGGGCACTAGTCTGGGGCTGGTCTGGATGGTGGGCACTGGTCTGGGTACTGGTTTGGGCACTGGTCTGGGGCTGGGTAGGTGGGGCACTGGTCTGGGCTGGGGGGCATGGGATGGGTCGTGGGTGGGCACTGGTTTGGGCACTGGCCTGGCACTGGGTGGGAGGTGGGCACTAGTCTGTGGCTGGGTGGGTGGTTTCACTGGTCAGGGGCTGGGTGGGCTCTGGTCTGGGGTTCGGTGGGCAGGTGGGCATTGGTCTGTGGCTGGTCTGGGCACTGTTCTGGTTACTTGGACGGTCTGGGCTGGGTGGGCACTGGTCTGGGCTGGGGGCACTGGCTGGGTCTGGGCTGGGGGGCACTGGTCTGGGTCTGGGCGGGTGGGCACTGGTCTGGGCCTGGGCGGGTGGGCACTGGTCTGGGCTGGCTGGGCGGGTGGGCACTGGCCTGGGGCTGCATGTGCCCGCTGGACCAACACTCAGTCAACGTGGAGAATTTGATCCCTGATTTGGAAAGCCGAGCGCATTGTCAAATTCCAGGATTAGGCCCGTGTAAAAGGGGGGGAATGCTAACTGCGCTGGTCAGCAGGCTCAGGCCGGATCAGTGGACTTAGGGACGTTTGTTTGCTACGCCTGTCTCTGCCCGATAGCATTTGATGACATGACGCCTGGCTGTGCGGACTGGCCCTCTCCGCCGCGCGCTCCCCATTGACCCACATATCACACCTACGTACAGAAAGTCCCAAATAACTGTGCTAAAATCTGCCACAGCTGTTAATTAATTCTCACAATGGGTCAGTGGACGGGGCTCCGAGGGGCACGGCTCAAAATATCTCTCTCTCCAGACAACAGCGTTAACATTTCCTGTCACTGAAGTGCTCCGCCAATAATTAAACTGAACTCATTTAAATCACAAAACGCTGCTAGGTGACATTAACGGGGTGTAATACATAAACTTCTCGCTTTGAATTTCGATTTACAAATACCGTGATGTGAACTTGTTTGGAGGATGCAACGTATGGACAGAAACTGGGCACTAAAATATGAGAAATATATAGAAAAGAGAGAATAGTTTAAAGCAATATCCTGTATCTTTCTGGACGTCGCTATGGAAACGAAGAGTTAAAACCATATTTCGAAACATTCTCTATGGAGATGAATGAGTTTTATGTTGAATATTGTAACCAAAAGATCAACATTTCTATGAGAAAGAGATCATACACTGCAAAAACTAAAATCAAGCCAAGTTAAGATGACTTGAATTAAGAAAGTTTAATCATGATTTGAGTAAATTTCACTGGACAAGTAAAATTACCTGAGATTTTTGTACTTAAAATATGAAAATACATCTTGCTACATTTAAAATAAGAAAAGCAACAACTTTTAGCACTTAAAATAAAAAAAAAAAAAAAAAATAAAAAATCTAATGTTGCCTGAATTAAGAAAACCACACTGATTTCATTGGTAGATAATTTTACTTGTCAAGTTGAATCGACTCAAAGAAAGTAAAATGTTCTTAATTTAAGTCATTTTAACTTAACTAGATATTATTTTCCAGTCCAAATAATTCTTATGGATATACAAGTCCGCTCAGCAGTAAGTGTGCATGTCAGTCCAATGAGGTTCATTTGTTCTCCTGATAATTTTATGTTATTAGGTTCTTTTTTTCAGACCAAGAGTTTGTTTTCATATCTGACAGTTTCGACTTGTCCCTGCGCTCTTCCTCAGAGTCGTCACGTCATGTTACTGTGACGTGTCCACTCAGTTGATTTAAACAGGTTTTGGCACTGTCTTCTTACCGGTGGAGGCAGGGGGACGATAAACCAAGACGAGGGGCTTTTTTAGTCTCACACACCTATAGGGATATCGTCCTGAAGAAATCGGACTGCAGACAGCGCTGTCATTTGGCCTCCAATTCTTGGTCTGAAAAAGGAACGTAATAACAGAAGTTTGCATGTTGGTCTCCTTTTTTCCAACAAACAACATAGAATACACACACACACACACACAAAAATCCCACAAAATTCAAATCATAATTCTTAAATTTTTTGGATAAAAAGGTTACAGTACAAACAATTTGTACTGCATAAATGCAATTTACAGGATCTTATATATTTTAAAACTATGGTAACAACAATACACATAGTTTTTTTTTTTTTTTTTTATCCATTTGGCAAACAACTTTTATATATTTATGTTTTTTATTTTGCACATATATAACATATTACCTTTTTTTTTTTTTTTTTTTAAGCACACTAGATAAAAACGTAGGTCCTGGAAGATGCAAAAAACCCAAAGGTGCTTATATTGAAGCCTCCACTTTATACATTAAACTGAAGATTATAGCTGTGCAATAATTTAAAAGACAAACAAACAAAAAAAGCATTTACACACTATCATGTTTACAGCATATATTTGCATGTCAGTTTGTGAAATTTTAGTATCGTATTTAAAGAATAGTCTTGATACTCAATACTGTCTGTGACACCCACATGATCATTTTAAAAGCTGTTTTTTTTTTTTTTTTTTTTTTTTTATTGTAATTTTCAACACAAAAAATACTTTTTGTTCATTACACCATGTGATCTGATAAAATTCAAGATAGAACCATTTGGGAAAAGTCAAATTTCATCCAATTATGTGATTTTTTTTTTTCTTCTCAGTGTCAATATAATAATAAAATACAATGAAACATCACACAATTGAACGATTATCAAACATTATCATGAAATATTAAACACTTCCTTATAAACAACATTTCTGTTATCGTACTTTACCTCACACAAAATACCTTTATACTTTACACAACACCAGTGTATACGTTGAACCAGAATACTCCCCATTATATCTGCGTGTATACATTTATAAACAACCTACTTATAATACAGCCCCGTCCCCAAAATACAAGTATACGCAGCCTCTTTCAAGCAACTTCTCCATATCAAACACCACGACGATTCCTGGCTCTGCTTCTATGAATACATGTTTCTAGGCCGTGTTTACCTCTAAAAACCTGCACGCACTCCAAATCTGAACCGCGGCAATATGGCAGAGCACCTGGCCTAAGAATAGCTCGGAAAATTGTCATGAACGTGGAGGGTTGCATGTGTTACAAAAGAAGGATCCGAGCTGGGAAGTCTCCAACTGGGAATGATCAATTAGACTGTGGCTCAGGTAGCCTCACGCTGTCATGGTGTATTTGGGCTGTTGTTGTTGTTTATTGAGCTGCTTCCATTAAGGATTTGTGGGTTCTTGAATATAGTGCATCTGCTCACGTCGCTTCCCTCCCTCTCTCCCTCTCTCTCGTCTCTCCGTCTGTCTGTCTCTCTCTTTCTCCGACTCCCCCCGTCCCGTGTTTGGTCCCTGGGGGGTGTAGTCTTGTTTTCGCTCTCTCTTTTCTCTCTTCTGTCTCTGTTTCTCCTTTCTAATCTGTCTCCATTTCTCTCCCTCTCTCTATCTCTTGCTCTCTTTTCTTCCTTTCATCCATCCCCCTTTTCCTACTCTCCCAGCTCTCTCTCCAACTCACTTTCCCTATCTATCTCTCCCCATCTCTCTCTAGTTCTGTCTCTTTCTACCCTCTCTCTCCACGACCCCATCTTCCCACTCTTCTCTCTTTCTCTCCATCTCTCTCCTCCTGTGCTCTCTCTCTTTTCTCCCTCCGTCCCGTGTTTGGTCCCAGGGGGGTGTATTCTTGTTTTCTATCTCTCTTTTCTCTCTTCGGTCTCCGTCTTCATCTCTCTTTCTAAGTTTCTCCCTCTGTCTTCTCTCAGTCTCTTCATCTCCACCTTCTCTCTCCGTTTCTCTCTCCTTCCTATTCTTTCTCCCGCTCTCTCTCTCTCTCTTTCCTACCCCCTCTCCGACTCACCCTCCCAGTCCATCTCACCCCTTCTCTCTCCACAACCCCATCCTCCTACTACCTTTCCTTCTCTCCATCTCCTCTCCCCTCTCTAAGTCCTACTCTTTCCTGCACTTCGTACCATCTTTTTTTCTCTCATACTGTCTTTCTTTCTCCATCTCCCTCTTCTGCTCGCTCTCCCTATCCATCTCTCCCCGTCTCTTTCTATCCTCTCTCTCTCCACGACTCTACCTTCCCATTCTCCTCTCTTTCTCTCCCTCTCTCCCCCCTCCGTCCCATGTTTGGTTCTTGGGGAGGTGTAGTCTTGTTTTCACTCTCTTTTCTCTCTCTTCTGTCTGTTTCCGTTTTTTCCCTTGTTTCTCTCGCCATCTTTTCTCAAATTTCTCTTTCACCCTCCTATTCTCTCACTTTCTCTCCCCTTCCTGCGTTCTCACCCGTGTCTTTCTCTTCTAATCTCTCTCCATTTCTCTCCCTCTCTCCTTCCTACTTTCTCTCCCTCTTCCTTCTTTCCCAGCTTTCTCTCCTTCCTACCCCCTGTCCGACTCACTCTCCCAATCCATCTCTCCCCCTCTCTCTCCGTCACTCCGTCCTCCTACTGTCTTTCTTTCTCTCCATCTCCTCTCCTCTCTCTCCTTCCTACTCCATCTCCCCCTCTCCTCACCTCCCTCCATCTCTCCCTCCATCCTGCGTTTGGTCCCTGGGGGGTGTAGTCTTGTTTTCACTCTCTCTTTTTTTCTCTCTTCTTTCTGTCTCCATCTCTCTTTCAAAGTTTCTCTCACTGTCTTCTCTCAGTCTTTTCATTTCCCCTCTCTCTCTCCCTCCTATTCTCTCACTCTCTCTCACTCTCACCCCTCTTTCCCTTCTAATCTCTCTCCGTTTCACCTCCTCTCTCTCCGTTACTCCATCCTCCTACTGTCTTTCTTTCTCTCCATCTCCTCTCCCCTCTCTCCCTTTTCTACTCACTCCCCCTATCCATCTCTCCCCATCTCTTCTACCTCCTCTCTCCCCAACAACCCATCTCTCTCCATCTCTCCCCCATTTTCCTCCTTCCTACTCCATCTCCCCCTCTCCTCCTGTCCTCCCTTCTCTTTCTCCCGCTGTCTTCCGTCAGTATCTTCATCTCCACCCTCTCTCCCTCCTATGCTCTCTGTCTCTCCGCCCTTTCAACGTTCTCACTCCTGTCTCTCCATTTCCCATCTCTCTCCGTCTCTCCACCACCCCACCTTCCCCGTCTCCTCTCTTTCTCCCCACTTTCCCTTCCTTCCTCCTCCATCTCCCCTCCTCCTCCTCCTCTCTTCCTCTCTCCCTCCGTCCCATGTTTGGTCCCTGGAGACGACAGCCTTGTCTCCACTCATTACAGGCTGAGTGTTTGAGGTTAGTGGGGTGCTGGGAGTCTACAACTGAATCTTGGCTCATTGGAAAGCAGCAGCCTCCTGCCTGAGCGCATGCTGTCTGCTTTCCTGTCTGTGCTGCGACTGAGCACTGATACACAAATGCGGGCTACTCAAAAATACAGGAAACACTTAATAATCATTACACTATTTACAGAACAGAAGCATAAACAAAGATTTAAAGGTGCAAAATTGACGCAAAATTGACTCTTG